CTAGGCCAATGCCTGGTCCATTTAAAGGGTTATGTACGGCACATATTGCAGAGCATGAGACTGCTTCTACTGGTTATGCCTCCTCAGGGCCATCGAGTTCTTTGTCCGGGGCTGAACTTAATGCTCTTCGACATCTACTAGCTCAAAATGCCTCCACTTCCACCTCTAACTTCGCTCAGACAGGTACCTCTCATTCAACACATCAGGTTTTCACATTATCTGGTGGGCCACCCTAGTTCATTGATTCAGAAGCCACTGATCACATGACTGGTATGACATGATTTTTTTTTCGTACAATTTATAATTTGGTAAAGATAAGGCTAGAGCGGCTGATGGCACCTTCACCTCCATTGTGGGGAAGAGCACTTTTTCTGCCTCTCCTAATCTTATCCTATCCTCTGTTCTTCATGTCCCAAAGTTTACCAATAACCTCCTATATGTCAGTCACATTACGAAAGGCTTGAATTGTAGTGTAACCTTTTTTCCATCTCACTGTGTGTTTCAGGACTTGGACACGGGGAAGATGATTGGAAGTGGACATGAGGACAATGGCTTGTATTTGCTTAACACAAGGCCAAATTCTTATTATGTTGCAAATCAATCTAATATTAGGAATAGTAATGTCAATAAAGATCTGTTATGCGATGGCAAAATAGACTAGGTCATTTACCTCTTCCCGTTTTGAAGCATATGCTTCCCTAGTTTGCTTCTGTCGAATCTTTTGAGTTAAATTGTGAAACATGTGTTCTTGCCAAACAATGTCGTATTTCTTATCCTATTAGTATTAATAAAAGTACAGAAGCTTTGCAGCTTGTTCATTCTGATGTGTGGGGTCCTGAATCTACTACTTTGTTACTTGGTTTTCGTGACTTTGTTGTGTTTGTTGATGACTTTAGTCGATATACTTGGCTTTATCTTATGAAAGCCAAAGATAAAGTTCATTCCATTTTTAAAACCTTTCATAAGATGATATGTACTCATTTTGGTTGTCCCCTCAAAATCCTTCGATCTGATAATGGAGGAGAGTTTATGCATGGCGGTCTTGCCTCCCTTTTTGATGATAATGGGATTGTCCATCAAACCTCCTGTGTCGATACACCACAACAGAACGATGTAGCTGAAAGAAAACACTGTCATATTACGTAGGTGACCCGTTCTCTTCTAATTAGGATGGGAGTGCCTAAAATTTATTGGGCTGATGCAACCTTAACAGCTACATACCTTATTAATCGCATGCCTTCTAAGGTTCTTGACTATTAATCCCCCCTTCTCTATCTTACACCATCACACTACCTTGTTTACTGTTCCTCCGAAAGTGTTTGGTTGTGTTTGTTATGTTCACATTCATCATCGCAAGGACAAAATGGACCCTAAGGCAATCCGATGTGTCTTTCTTGGATACTTCGCCACTTAGAAAGGTATCGGTGTTATAACCCTACCACTCGTCATCGGTTTGTCTCTATGGATGTTACATTCTTTGAGCCTGTTCCTTTTTATTCCACTACGCGGGATTCTCTACAGGGGGAGACTACTATACAGGTAGAGAATCCGTCGTCCATTCAGAGGGAATGCCCCCTTCCTTTGCATTTTCCCATTCATAGGGAGGTTCCCATTCAGGGGGAGCTTCTTACTGAGGTGCCTATGTCTAGTCCTCCTAACACTAATGATTTGCAGCAGGGAAAGCAGCCGATTGTGTACACTAGGAGGGCAAAACAAGTCATTGACTCACCCCAGGACCACGAAGTATCCCTTGATCCAAGTAATTCCTCAGTTGACATTGATACTCCCGATTCTTTTCCCAATAGCATTCATGTTGATCTTTATGTCCCTACTGCCTATCGTAAGGGTGTTCGTAGTTGTACAAAACATCCCATATCTCATTTTGTATCTTATGATGCCTTATCTCCAACATTTCGTGCTTTCACTTCATGTATCTCCTTTGTATCAGTTCCTTTTAGTGTTTCAGATGCTCTTAGTCAAACTCCATGGAAGGAAGCCATGCTTGAAGAGATTAGGGCCCTTGAGAAGAATGGTACTTGGGATATTGTTCCATTACCTAGGGGTAAGAAACCAATAGGCTGCAAATGGGTCTACTAAATAAAGTATCATGCAGACGGAAGAATAGAGAGATATAAAGCCAAGTTAGTTGCAAAGGGCTTCACTCAGACCTATGGGATTGATTATCTGGAAACATTTACTCCAATTGCCAAGATGAACTCTATACGTGTCCTTTCTTTGACAGCTAATTTGAATTAGCCTTTACATCGGCTGGATGTAAAGAATGCTTTCATTTATGGTGACTTGGAGGAAGAGGTGTGTATGACTATGCCACCAGGTTTTAAGCTTGCCAATGGACAGAATTTAGTGTGCAAGCTAAACAAAGCGTTGTATGGGTTAAAGCAGTTGCCACGTGTTTGGTTTGAGAGGTTCACCACTGCTGTGAAAAAAGTAGGGTACACACACAGTCAAGCATATCATACTCTCTTCATCAAGAAGCACCAGGGTTGCACCACTGCCCTTATTGTATATGTTGATGATATTGTTGGGGACAGAGTTCGAGGTTAAAGACCTCGGATCATTAAGATACTTTATTGGCATTGAGGTGTGCAGATCGAAGAAAGGGGTTTTCATTTCTCAACGGAAGTATGTGTTAGATTTGTTGGCTGAAACAAGCATGCTTGGAGCTAGACCTATTGATATTCCCATTGAGCAAAACCATAGGCTTAATGATGTGGATGGAGACCCATTAGAATATTAGATGATGTGGGAAGATTTCAGCGATTAGTTGGGAGACTGATATACCTATCTCTCACGTGCCCAGATATTGCTTATGCAGTTAGTGTGATTAGTCAGTTTATGCATGCTCCACGTGCACCTCACCTTAAGGCAGCTCATCATGTTCTTCGCTACCTCAAGGGTTCATCTTGTAAGGGGATATTGTTTAGCCGTCATGACCACTTGCGTGTTGAAGCCTTTACTGATGTTAGGGTATATGACAGATCGACGATCTACTTTAGGATATTGCCCATTTGTTGGAGGTAATCTTATTTCAAGGCGAATCTGTAGTAGCTAGATATAGTGCAGATGCTAACTTCAAATCCATGGCACATGGAGTTTGTGAGTTGTTATGGCTACGAACTATGTTGGGTGAGTTAGGTTATCATGTCCGCAAGTCAATGAAGTTGTATTGTAACAACAAGGCTGCTATTAGCATTGCCCACAATCCAGTTCAACATAGCACGACAAAGCACATTGAAATCGATCAACAGTTCATTAAGGAAAAGCTTTGTCTTAGGCTGATTTGTACTCCATACGTCAACACACATGATCAAGTTGCTGATATTTTGACTAAGGGTATGAGCAAGACTTGCTTGCAAAATATGTTAGTCAAATTGCGTATGATAGATATCTTTGCACCAGCTTGAGGGGGAGTATTGTCAGGAGCTTATTCGTTATTACTTATATAATGTTGGGTGATTATGTGTACTTTTTGAAACTTGTTAGTATAAATAGAATGTGGTGGAAGGATGAAACTATTCTTTCATTCTCTCTTTCCCCATCTCTCTCTCTTTTTCTCTCATCCTCTTTCTTCTCTTTTTCTTTTTCTTCTTCTTATACTTTACTCATGATTTGATTATCTCTTAAAGTCAACACAAATTAAATAAGACAATCTTATTCTCCAAAAACTTGGTTCAGCTAATGGGAACACTTGAGCTTGAATCCTAAATCAAAGTGATAGAATTAAATATCATGAACAGCAATAGGCAGGATGAATGTGCACACCAGTTTACATATTGTGATGCGTCCAAATCTTCCGCTCCTTTAAGATTTTTTTTCTTCTTCTTAATTCTTATATTTGACACCGGTAAACCGGGAACAACAATAACAAGTTGAAAGTCCCTTTTTCATGCATGGTTTCAACTGGCAAACTCATATTTTCATTAAAAGCAGCTATTAATTGGAAATAAAAAGCAACTCGAAGCTCATGCCACACTTTAATTAACAAAAAAATGGTGAAGAGGCACATGAGATTAAGGAAGACAAAGAGCAAGGAGATGAAGGAGAAAAGAATGAAAAGGGCATCAGACAATTAGTCAGTTACATATGAACGGAAGTTGACTGAATTCGCAGATACATTACATTATGTAAAACAATGCAGTCCAGTTATTTGTTAAGACAGCATTTCAGCAGAGCTCTCAAGGTGCTTTAACAAAAAATTCATTACTGATAAAAAATGAACACCCTAGATATTCAAGGAATCATCCAACATAAATTCTCAATACATTCCTAAATTATGACTGCTAGAAGAAAAGATAATATAAATCATTTTCTTTATTAACACAACAACTACCAGCAACTGAATTTCAACCTCTATGCATACAAAAGTTTTGAAAGAGATGCTTTTTCCAATTTAACTGGAATTTCGAAGGTCAAAATATGCCAGAGTAGATGATTCCTAATATTGCTTACCATTCACAAGTCAAAAGGATGAAACTACTGCAAATATATACTGTTAGAATATATTCTAATATATTCAAACATATACAAATGAAAAAATCTGGGTATGGAAATGAAAATTTTGTCCATAAAATACAGTTATGCAAATTTACTTCTTAATTGCATTATTTCAACATTGAGCTATACGATTACATCATAGTTCAACAAATGCATAAACAAATATAACTTATCGAGAAAAAAAAAATCCATAAACAAATATACAAAAGCAATTGAATTAACATAGCAAATATATAAGTTGAGCACACCCATCAAATTAGAAAGCAACCCATTAAACTAATATAATTAACCGAGAGAGAGAGTTCATCACAACCCCACCAAAAGAAGAGCAAGAATATCAAAACAATATTTTGTATACCAAAAGATAGATAGTTCAGTGATACGAAAGGAATTCAAAGGCACAGTCTTCACAGAGAGAGAGAGAGAGCTAATTCACGAAACTTTATGCACATTCAGGTAATAAAAAGAGTCGGGATTGAACTCACCTCAGCTAGTGTAAATTCAGGAAGATCATCATTCATTTCCATTGACTCAAACCCAACATCCATTTCACCAAAAAAACACACACACACACACACACACACACACAGATTTGGGGCTTTTACAGGGTTTTTCTGCTTGTAAAGAAGAAAGAAAGAAAAAAGAAACGTGGATTCTATCTGTGAGAGAAGTACAATGAGTACTCACTCAAATCATGCCACATTTTCTGATTTAAAAGTTCACTTAAACGAACCCTAAAGCAGGCCTATGAAATATGATCAGGGTCCGGTCCTCTGGGCTTTCGCTGTCTTATCCAATCTGGGCCCAGTGAATTTTTTTAATTTTTTTTGACAATATTTAACCAAAAAAAAAGATAGAGTGGCTGTATTTACTCCAAAAACTAAAAAATTATTATTTATTACTTGACTATGTGTGCATTTGTGATTCGACAAATAGTCAATTAGAATCACCTACTCATTAGTGAGTAAGTAAGTATTTTTTTGTTTTAAATATATTTTTCGGAAAAACAATCTATATTCAGCTACCGTTGAGATACAATTCGAGAAGGAGATACCACTTGAATTAAACCATTGGTCAAACGTCTATTTTAATTATAAATAAAAAATAAAAAATTTAACTCCAAGAAGTGAAAATATAATTGCAAAATATATACTTCAAACACCAAGTAAAAGTTTGCTCGAGTAGTGTTCCTCCCTGGTGCGTAAAGAGAAATATACTCACTTTAAATTATAGCCTTGAGATTTAATCCTAGAGCTAATTGAAGAGATAGTTATTTTAAGAAATTATCATTCTTTTAATTAATATTACTTGTAAATTACTATAAGGAATAGTTTCTTAAAACGAAAAAAAAATTGATATTCTATTTTAATTAACTCACAAATCACAATCGTCCCCTTCTCAACCTTACAATTAATTTATGTCTATAAAACAACTACTTACTGAATCATCCAATTATAAAGGAATGTTGTACTCTCAAAATATATTTATTTGTAACGACCCTGGATTTTACAAACCCAGTGTGTCATGTGATGACCCAAAACGAATCCAAAATGCGGAAGCTAAATAGAAACATAATCTCTAGAGATATACATCATTCCTAAGACACAAAAGTGGCTTCCTGAGGAGTCCCGAGGCTTAACGGAAGCAAGGAGAAAACGAAAGTTTTAAAACCCTACAAGAATTAGACCAAGGGTAAAATGGTAATTTTATCCAGAAATGGGTGCTACCATGCACCCAATTGGAAAGACAACGAAAAATTAAAAAGTTTAGGCTCAAGAATCACTTGATTCAGAGTCCGGACAGAAAAAATATGAAGATAGAACAAAGTGACATCCTTCGATTAAGAGATACTACAACCCTATCTCACTAAAACTATCATAACTCTCACTACGGTTATATTTTTTGTGCTTAGTTAGTACCATTGGAAAGCTAACTTCAAGCTCTTGAATTTAAGCTCAAAAATGATCTGATTTGGATTTAAAATGAGTGAGATATGACCCTCTAAAGTTGACTCAAGAAAGCTATCCAAGAAACTGAAAAGAAATCAAGTTTCAGGGAGGATCAGCTGGCTGACGACAAGGATCAACCGGCCGAAATGCCCTATCCAGGTTCCAACTCACTAGAATTGGCTTCAAAAGGCTATCAGTCAGCTAACAGTTCTTATCAACCGACCGACGCATCAGATAGCAGCAAAAGCTACTGTTGCTAAGTGTGGGGAAGGTGCTCGGTCCACTCCTAATGCCGTATATGCATCCCAAGTGTCCCAAAACAAGTTTAAAAACATCCCATAGCTTCATGCAAGCATCCACAATATGATAAACCAAGAGAAAACGTTTATTCATACTCCAATGCATGAATTTTGAATAAAAACACATAAATCACCCTATGAAAAGTTCCAAAACATAAATTTAAAGGTTTTGTGAGATGTGGACATGCACGCAAACGTAAAAAGATATTTAAGACGCGTCCCAATAGCCCACGACTTCAAAATACCCTCAATGCAAAATATGACCTCTCAAACCTCAATTTTTCATAAAATTGCCTAAAAAGGGTAAAATGCAACACCATGGCATATAAATGAAAACAAAATGGTGTTCGGCCCTTGGCCACACCTCATACATATTAAATGAGTCCTAGTGAATGTGCTCGTGCACACTTTACACTACCCGATTTGGAAATGAACCCTTAAAGGCTTGGATTTTTCTATTTTAGCCAAAAATGCAACATATGAAACTAGAATGTAAAATGTAAAACAAAATGATGTTTGGCTCTTGGCCACATCTCATACATGGTAAATGAATGCCAAATGATGACTTTTATACACAATGCACACTCTGGTGCAAAAATGACATGTTACGCCCTTGATTTTCATATTATTCACATTAAAGGCAAATTTCTACGTTTATGAGTATACATGGATTTCAAATGAAGTTTGGCCCTTGGCCACATATCATATGCATAGAATGAATATCAAAAAGTGTGCTTAGGCACACATTACAAGTTCCAAGGCAAAAATGACATTTTGGTCTAACTTTACAATATAACTTAAAAAGTAAAACTCAAGCATGCTAATACTTGCATGTAAACAAAATACATTTAAAAGAACTTCAACTCATCGAAACGACCTAGAGATATTGTGCATCCTAAACCAAGGTATCCGTACCTGAAAACAACCCAATAACTTTGGGGTGAGTAAACAAGTTACTCATAGAGAATGAGCATACATAGACCTAACATTTTACAAGATTATCACATTAACTTGAAACAATTCAAAAGGGGTCATGCCACTTAACGTCTATGTTAAAAGTGGGACAATGGATCATTCCAAGCTACTCATGCAATTGAAATGAACTACGACACACAAGTATACATGCCCAAGTATATGCAAAAAAAAAAAAAAAAAAAAAAAAAAGCGAAATGAATTCACAAGAGGCTCAAATCACCAAGGATGAGGTTTTACCCGGAAACGACCATGCACACAAACGTAACTTACCTATTAGGACGTGCTACAATGGTCCACAACTTAAAAATACCACTGATGCAAAATCCGACCCCCAACAGGCAAAAAGGCAAAAATGGAACTTGGAATGAAAACTCGGAATCCAAAAATACAAAACGGGGTCAAATGACCGTTTGGGCCTTGGCCACACTTCAAACATGATTTATAAGACCCTATGAAAGAATGAAAACGGAATTCCCACACCCAATGCAACCATGGTGAGACAATGACTTGGCGTTTTTCAATATTTTCCTAATATTTCAAGAAGTTAGAAGTTACAAAAAATTCAATATACATGTCAATGGCCTCCGGTCTCATCTCATACATGTTGAATACATTGAAAGGAGTGCACTTAAGTACACATTACATACATGGAATCAAAGAATACAAGTTTTACATATAAGTCTACAAAATGACATTTCATGCTAACATTTGCATGAAGTGGAAACTTGAAGCTACGCGACATTCAAGGAATGCTAAGTATCACGAACCAAGTCTTCTTACCTGAAATATGCCCCAGTAACGTAGGGGTGAGCAACATAAAGTTACTCGTAGGAGATGAGCATGCATCGACCTAGCATTTTACAATTTTATCACCTTAAGGTGAAACATGTCAAAGGGGCTCATGCCACCTAACGTCTATGTCAAAGTGAGACTCAGGGCGCATCCTAAGCTATCATGGAGCATAAGGAACAAGAATCATGATACATATACACATATGAAACAAGTCAAGTTTGGGATAATCCAAAGAACACGATAAGAAAGATACTTGAATACAGATCAACATAACAAGTTTACCATCTTCCATGAATCATATTATCTATGCAATTGAACAAGGTTAGGGACAATCCATACAACACGACACGAAAACAATGGAATATAAGGATCACATTATCAATGCAATTTACATGACTGGAATTAAACCAATTAACACGATGAGAATTATACACGGAATCAAGAACAAGGCATAATATATATGCAAGTATACAAGGATGGAACAATCTATATAACATGACAACAAGTATACTCGGACATATGTTAACAAGAATTACATTATCGATGCAATTAACAGGACAAGGAGTATACTTGAAATCACGAATGGGGCATAATATCTATGCAATGAAACAAGATTGGAGCATTTCACATAACATGACAAGTTTAAATCTTCAAGGAATAGCAACTTGAAATTTAAAGAGTGAAATCAATCAATGTGGAAACTCGGATATCGTCCGGATTAAAACCGTACTCTTGAGATCGCTTTAGGGCTCCAAACCCATGGGTACCTTTCCCCTAGTGCGCACTATAGTTGTAGGAGGACATTCCCCCGTACTAGAACCAAGTCCTAGCCATGACAATTCTTGATTGATATCCCAAGTCCCAAAATCAAGAAGTTGTGCAAGTCAAGATTGTATCAAATACAAGAAATGCATTAACCACGTTTCATGCACAACCAAGATTTTGGAACATACAAGTCATGCCCTAAGTACTCAACAATGATGGCATGTGAAATGTCAAGAAATCATAATATGCATCTATATACATTATAACCAAGGTACATAGCATAAGGATTCCATTGAAGTAGATATACCACGAGTATAAGATACATGATTCAAGTACTCACTAAGCAACACATGTGTAAGTAAACCATTTCAAGACAAATGAGCAAGTTCATTAAATATATTAATGAAACCAAGATACAAAGGATCACGATGCTTGATAAAATGTACAAGTTCTTGAAATGCAAGTCAAATTCAAAAGCTTAATAAGAATTCAATAACAAGGCATAATTAACTCGATAGAAGCATACAAGGAAATTTAATCTACTTAAGAGATTAAATTATCAAAGTTACAAGGCAAGTCAAGGATTATGTCATGGACGAATTTAATGTCAAATTACAAGTTCATTGCATGCAAGACACCACCGTGTGAGTTAAGTCCATGGAACCATTGAATGGATTTTAATTAATTCCATTAATTAAAATCTCTAGTTTTTGAAAGTCTTCCAAATGATCTCAATTTTAAATATGTTATACAACATACCAAGACATGATTTAAAAATACGACACAAGTGAATTCCATGCAATGAATGGCCATGAGCATTAAACTTTAATACTAGAAAAATAATAAATGATAGATTTCAAAACCTAACCAAATATTCTAGATTTAATATATGTGAAACCATATAGCATGCGTACCAAGAATGTCAAGCCGGAATTCCAATGGGGTGAATAGTACACCCGGAATAAATTAATTAATCAAATTAATTAAATATTACTAGATTTCAAAACAATTCCGATTTCTCTCAATTTAATCTATGTTGAAGAGTATGCTAGGGCCTAATATAATATGCTAACACATATTGATTTCAAGTTAGTTAAGACCATGTGAATTAATCTTTCACCTAAGATAAATATTAAATAAAAACTTTAGTACTTATTTAAATGCTCTAATTTTAATACACGATAATGAGCATATCATGGGGCAATATAATATCATGCTACATGTTTAAACCAAGTCACGAGCAACCGGAAAAATTAGATCCCGTATAAGAAAAATAAATAATAAAATCTCTAGATTTTATATTTAATCATGAAAACAAGTAGTATTAGCATCACAAGCATACTATATAACAAGAATTTAAACCTAGAACATCCCCTACCTCAATTTGAGATGAAAATAATCCCCACCGAAACGAAAGTGCTCCGAATCCGACGATACCGAGAGGTTTTGTCGGGGACAACACTGTGAACAAGAATCCGCAAGAAGCCCCATGAAAATCCCAACTTGACTCCAAACCCGAACTCAAAAAATCGTCGAAAATGGATTCTAATAAGGGCATAAGATGCGCGGCGTCAAGACAAGCATTAAACGTTAAGGCCGAAGATTTTTCATCAAAGAAAAGTGAACCAAAAGAGGAGAGAGAAGATGGCAGCCATGGAAGGCTGTGGAATCTGGTCCAGAACGTGTGGGGAAGAAGAAGAAAATTATGTTTTAATTTTTCAAACCCCCTATTTATAGAAAATCACAAAAAGTGCCCTTAAAGGGCCCCGCCGAGTCTGGAAAAGTGGATTTTGAGTAGACGCACTCAAACGGCAAAACTCCATGAACGAAAAAGATTCAAAATGAGAAAATATGAACAACGGAAGAAACGGCGTCGAAAACTAAGTTCCGAGTATAACGTTATGCCCCGAACAAGTTCGGCGGTAACCGGGTCCAGAAACTTTAAAACTGGAGAAAAACGATCAAAACAGAATTCTAAGAGTCCACGACTCGACGAAATGTGAAAATGAATCCCGTACGAGGATTCAGGCTCCAGACGAGACATTTTGCAATAACTTTCGTTAATTGCACAATGGCCTCTACAAAAAGGGTTAACTGCGAAACTGCCCCAGAATGAAAATATCTTCCAAAAGATATTTTCTTAGATACACTTGAAATAAAATATCTTCAAAAGATATTTATGAAAAATACCCCAAGAAATGAAAAAGATTCTAAAGAATTGTGCATCCATGCTCTTGTGGGCACCGGGAGTAATCAGAGTACTTTTTTACAAAAGTAAAGATACGTATTTCGAGAAAATCACTCAAGATGAAGGTACGTGAAGTCAAAAACCAACTCCGAGAATGAGAAGTGAGGTTGTGCCAAAAACTGACAAACGAAGATAAGACAGAATAGGGAAAAGGACGAAATAGCGCATAGTGTCTGAAAGTGAAAATACAGAAATGACTCGGTCGTCAAAGGAAGTTGTCAATTCACATGAAAGAGTCTCAGAAACCAATTCCGAGCACTCGAGATGACACTAAGCGACACGAAACAGAGCTCAGAAAAGAGAATGAAACGAAAAAAAATTATCCGTAAAATTTCAGGAAAAAGGAAAGAAAGACAAATGACCGGGTCCTTACACATTGATTCCACTTATTTTCCTCCTCTTTTGTCAAACTTGTTTCAATTTAGTCATACTTTCTCTATTATAATTTTTGCATTTTTCTTAAGTGTTTTGGTGTAAAAGTTTACACCTACAGCTATGTTTTTTGAAGCTTTGATTGTAGGCATACTCTGTATTGCTTCTTGTGGTTCTGTTTTCTTTTGCTTGTTGCCTTTTTGGCTTGCTATGTCAGATAGGGACTCTTTTGTACATTCTGTCTCCTTATGCATACAAGCTCACCCTTTAATTAAAAAATAAAATAACATTTTGGTACAAAATCAATTATAAGTTCTCCTTAATTAATGCAAAAGAGAAAGCCAATTTAAATAAAAATGAATTAAAAAAGAAGTGTTATTGCATGGATCTGAAAATGAGTTTGCATATAATCTTGTTGATAACTCAAATTAACAAAGATTATAGGTAATATGGATGTCATGCTCTTCAGAAATAGTTATATATATACACCAAAAAATGATAAACAAGTGTGAAAAGTATAGCCAATATAGCTTGTTGGCCAAGTGAAATAGTTTTTTCCTTGTTTGTGTTGAAGCCATTGTTGTTGACTTCTGGAGGAGAATAGAGGAAGGCCATAGAGATACGGTAGTCCTCATCATCTTCACCTTTATAGATTGGCCTTCCTATGACATGCTTGTACTGCCCACCACTCCATGCCTGAGAGAGAAAAAGGAAAAAGTTTACATGGTTGTAAAGATGGAATCATCAATAATATGTATGTAAACAAAGAGAGCTAGGTAGTACAAGATTGTCATCATTCTCTCCATTGTAATGGATTATATTATATCATGTGGAATGATTACATTCATAGCCCTTCCACACAGTTTCACTTCAAAAACCAAAAATGACAGCTCATGACCCTTCCACAATATTCCATTTTAATTAGACAGGTTTATGATTTAAGATGTGTAAATTGTGGGATCTACATGTTAGAGGAAATCATATATATATGTGTGCGCGCGCTATATATTGCACAAGAAACATTCTCCGCACTAAGTATTGTAATTGTTAGATATGATTTGAGAGTAAAAAAAATAATAATAATAAAAAAGATAGCTATTAGAAAAATATAACAATCTTATTGGAAATAGTTTCTTGCTCCAAAGTTACCTGTAAGAGATGATATATATATATACACACACACACACACACACTCGGCCAAAACTGAGATCCAAAGTTACCTGTATTTGATCCCCAACTGTGATTATTAAGGCATCTTTATCTGGGCAAAAGGAAACCCAACCCTTCTTGGAGTAAACATGGAACTCTGAAGACCCATTGCATATATGTAAACATATTGCATGAGAGTAATCTGAACCCCTAACTAGCATTCTAATCACATCATATCTCAGTGAATTTACCCATTGGTCCTCGGTGGTACTCTTGGAGTGCTTGTAGAGATAGCAGACTGAGGCAGCAAGGTCTTGCCCTTGGATCACATTGTTTCCGAGTTTTGATTTTGTTAGAGGACTTTTCTCCTTCAGAATTATCAGAATTTTTTCACCAACTTTCTCTATGTCTGACAAGAGTCTTTCCATTTTATCACTGAAATACATTGATTTTTTCGCATTAGAGATTTGTAGACTGTTCAATTTGGTTAGGTTTTTAGATAAATCAGAATCAAATCAGTCCCTACAGTTTTAAAAATATTAAAATCGAGCTCAACCATTAGAATCAGTAAAATTAAAACAAAGTGTGTGTGTGTGTGGATTTTTTGTAATAATAATGAAATCTCCAAGGGAATAGAACTAGGAGCGAGATCATCAATGTCATTGGATTGACTATCTTCTAGGACTCAGAAATTCGTGTTAGGGGATAATAGTGTGAATTTTTTGTAATTTCAGGGGGATATAAAATTTTCATTAGTATATATAGCTCAGAAAGGAAAAATCAGTAGTATTAATGCTTAAAAAAAAAAAAAAACACAGTGGGGTCAATTGTCCCCGGATGTATACTTGGATCCGTCCCTGCATAGAATCAACTCTCTATAAATATATGTAATATACTTGCTCTTGCTTAAAACATGTCTTAACAGAAATAATTTATATCTAACCGATGCTCAATTATTACCCAAAATTAATAATAATAGTGCTATGGCATTTTCAACAAAATGTAGAATTATTTGGAATTTTACTATTGGATAAATTATAATTAGTGAGATTTTTTTTTCTGTCAAAAAAAAAAAAAAAAAAAAAAAAAAAATTGTAGAGATTTACGATAAACACCAAAACACTCGCTCAAAAGGTGACGGTTTTTATACCTGAAATTTGAATATCCAAGTGGCCATATTCCCTCCATTTCCAGCTTTAAACTTTCATCTCTGCACCAAACAAATTCTTCACTCATTTCTCTCTCCTCTTCGCCGTGAAACTCCTCGAACCCAAATGAATTCTCCGGCAACCTTGACATCACCGCCTTCTTCTCGGGCGGTATCTGGAATATTCCGGCACCGGCTACCAAAGCCGATCGGATCACATCGCACGGAATTCCGTGGTTAACAACCTGAAAGCAACCGATTCCGGCAATCGAGTCCAGAATTCCAGTGATCGTATCAATTTTGAGCGAGTTCAGTAATTCGAAGTCAATTTTAGGAGGGTTTTCTGTCGATTTTTGGCGAGGGAAGACTCGATCCGGTAAAATGAGGTCCGGAACGCGGAGAGAGTGTTCGAGAAAATCGGTGAGAACGTCGGCGTTTGTGACCGATGATCTGCGACTGGAGCCGATCGGAGATGGAGGCGGTGCTCGGAAATCGACAACATTTTCTGGCAAGAGTTGAGGCGAAATTGCCATAATTGGAGATAGTAGTTAAGAGCTGAGTGATGATGTTTAATTACTTGGCTGTCTCAAGTTCAATTATATATATATGTGTGTGTGAATAAACACACTATTTTGGTAATATTTTCTCTCTCTATAACTTTATTTTTCTCTCTCTCTATCTGCCTGTAAAGAGAAAGAGGATGAAGCAGCAATGATGGCTATGTCCCGGTGGTCTCCTGAGTGACATTCCCAAGTATCATCACATCCTTTCCTTTTCCTCTTTCCTGTGCTTTCGTTTTCTTTTTCCTTTGTCCTCTCTCTCTCTGTGAGTCCGTGACTCTCTTTTTAAATGGGCCAGGCTGATGTGTGCTCATAAGAATTGGGCTTGTTCAACTAGATTAGCCTTATTTTAGGGTCAAAGATTCAAAGGGCAGTTTAGGTTCATGGGCCAGATAATGTTGTTTTGATTTGTAACTTTACGAATATCAATTTAATCCACTTGTCGGCCAGTCCTTCTTGGGACGGGTATGAGAACACTCGGATTAAGAGGGGACTTGAGAAGACTTAAAATTGAAGGTGTTGGCACCAAAATTTGGCAGCCACCTCAATAATGATGTGGACGAATTGAAGAGTAACCAATGGGTTTGATATGGCACAATAATATTGTTATTGACTCAAAAATTGTTGGAGATGATCGATCTTCAACGTGATGATAATGAAATACTGATGTCAACTTCTTGATTGTAATAACCCAAACAAAATATAGACTCTGAGGTGTATGTTCACTTTCCTTAAAGTGTTATTTGCCCCAACTCAAATTGAGTTTACTAACGGGTTCTGTAGCAAAACACTCCCAGGATATAACAAAGTTTGAATTTCTGCAGTTAGCAATACTAAAGGAATTCCCTAAACACCCGTTGAAACTATTATGACTAGATACAACACAAGAAAGAGAACAAAAAAAAAAAAATGTAAATCATATTGTGCAGCACACATCACTATTTAGAAACTTCTAAAAGGTGCAAAGCAGAAGTCACGTATCATTTGAATTATTGCAACCTATTCAGAAGGTGCAAATCAAAAGTCACGTACCTTCTTCAACAGTCACCTTCTAAAAATATGGTAGTTATTATCATCTAAATAGTTGCAACTATTCAGATCAATTTTAATAAACACAGTCTAAAAACATGTATGTTGTCTTACCGGTTTTTTTATGTATCTCACATGTATAACGTGTGTGTGTGTGTGTGTGTGTGTGTGTGTGTCTATATATATATATATATATATATTACAATATATTCAACAATCCCCCACTATATTATAATATATTAAGTATCCAGTCAATGCGATATTATCACCCAGACATGAAGGTATCTTTCGATTTAAACCTTCAATTAGTGTAAGTTTTTCAAAGTTTTAATGAAGAACAATGGTACTCTTAGCTTAAACCAAGTCTCCTTAATATTAAAACCGGAAATACCACACACATGATTGTATCCAGTTTCTATGACATGTTCATATTTTCTTTAGCACTATTATTGTTATGTGCTTATCCTGGTTTCATGAACATTTACAAGAGTAAACCCTAATAACCCTTGCTAGAAGCGGCACCACTTCTTTTGTTTATAGAGGAGAAGTTCTAATATGTGTCCGTACTACTATAAACATTTCAAAATTTTGAACTTCTTTAAGAGTATATAACTCATCCTTAAAACATAGCAATTTACACTGAACATCCTGGAAGGGATAGAACATAGCAGTCTACACTGAACATCCTGGAAGGGATAGTTTATATATATATATTCAGTGTTTATACAACCATATATCAGTAACTTGTTATTACCCATTAAACTTTGGACTAGTGGTAATCTAGTTCAAAGTCGGGTTACTATTATTCGTGATTTTGAAGAAAGGGTTTCAGCCCCATTCCACTAGACGTAATTTTTACCAAATCTCTCGAAAGTCCCTTAGTTAGAGAATTTGCCTAAGTTATTACTTTACTTCACATATATTATGTGAATAACTCTATCAATTATTAATTGTCTAATATACTCATGTCTCAAACTGATATGTCTAGACTTTCCATTATATATTTTATTATATGCTCTAGACATAGTTGTCTCACTATCACAGTGCAAAGAAATAGATGACATCGGTTGTGGCCATAACTCTATATCTAATAACAAATTTCAAAACCATTCTGTTTCCTTGCCGGTTGCCGCTAATGCAATAAACTCATATTCCATTGTTGAATATGTTATGCACGTTTGTTTCTTAGATGCCCAACAAATGGCTCATCCACTAATTGTAAATATCCATCCAGATGTGGACTTATTATCACTCGCACTAGTAATCCAATTAGCATCTGAGTGTCTTTCTAGTACTGTTAGAAAATCATAATAAAATAGTCCTTGGTCCACTGTTCCCTTAAGATATCCAAGGATTCTAATCATTGCTTTCCAATGAACTGTACTATGATTATTTCTGTACCTAGAAAGTTTGCACACAGCAAATGCTATATTTGGCCTTGTAGAATGCATAACATATATCATACTACCTATAACACTAACATACTCTAGCTGTACAATTGCTCTGCTAGAATTAGCTTCTTTAATTCCCAAATAATTATATTTAAGAAACATCTTTTCAATATAATGAGATTGACACAATGCATACCCCTTTTCATGTTTCTTTACTTTAATTCCTAAGATAGTATTTACTTCATTAAGATCTTTCATTTTTAAGCATGAAGTTAGATACTTCTTAGTTTTAGAAACACCTCTCATATTTGTTTAAAAAATTAGCAAGTCATCAACAAAAAGACAAATAATAACACCATAATCATTTGTGAATTTAGAATAAATGCATTTATCAGCATTATTATGCTTAAAATCAAATTATAGTATCACATAATCAAATTTCTCATGCCATTGCTTTGATGCTTGTTTTAAACCATAGAGTGACTTTATTAATTTGCAAACTTTCCTTTCATTTCTAGGTAGGACAAAACCTTCTGGTTGTTCCATATATATTTCTTTCTCAAGATCACCATTTAAAAATGCAATTTTTACATCCATTTGATGCACATGTAAATGATAAATAGAAGCCAAAGCCATAAGAACTCTAATAGATGCAATTCTGGTCACGGATGCATAAGTATCAAAATAATCATTACCTTTCTTCTGTTTAAAACCCTTGGCTACTAATCTGGCTTTAAAGGTTTGAATAGACCCTTTTGTGTTATACTTTCTCTAAATACCCATTTATAACTCACCGGTTTTGATCCTTGTGGTAATTCAACCAAAATCCAAGTTTGGTTTGACAACAATGAATCCATTTCATCATTTATAACTTCTTTCCAATAAGTTGCATCTATTGAAGCCATTACTTCAGCAAATGTTTTAGGATCATTTTCTATGTTCAATAAAATAGGTATTTTATTAAGAACTTTATTTCTATCTCTTTCTACTAGAAATATTATACCTTGAGAGGAAATAAAATCAGGATCTAAAGCCTTTTCTTTTCTAATTCTTTGACTTTTCCTAGGTACAGTTATTTCATCATTTATTTTCTTTTTGTCTCTAAGAGTTGTATTAGATTCTAAATCATTAGATTTTCTTTGAATAGGTTCAGACAAAAAATCATGACAAATTTTATTTTCTATAAATTCAACATCTCTAGATTTAACAATGACATTAAAATTTAAGTCTAATAGTCTATAGGCTTTAGAATTTTCAACATAACCTATAAAAATACTTTTTATTCCTCTTGGACCAAATTTAGTTCTCTTTGGATTAGAAATTCTATAAAAAGCTAAACACCCCCACACTCTAAGATACTCTAAGTTTGGTTTTCTTCCTTTCCAAATCTCATAAGGTGAAATATGTATTTTGCTAGATGGAATTCTATTATGCACATGACAAGTAGTAAGTAAAGTTTTGATCACCCCAGAGATTTATAGGTAATTTAGCATTCAACAACATAGAATTAATCATATCAACAAGTGTCTTATTTTTTCTTTTAGCCAAACCATTCTATTGTAGAGTGTAAGGTGCACTTTTCTGATGTATTATTCCATATTCTTTACAATAAGCAGAAAAAGCATTAGAAAAATATTCACTACCCCTATCATTATGAAGAATTTTTATTTTCTTTTCCTTTTGATTTTCAATCTCAGCCTTATAATGTTTAAACATGTCAAAAGTTTGATATTTACTAGCCATTAGATATACATAAGTAAATCTAGAACAGTCGTCAATAAAAGTTATAAAATATCTTTTTCCTCCTCTAGTTAATTTTCCATTTAATTTACAAATGTCATAATGAATTATTTCTAATAGTTGTGAATTTCGATTATCTTTAAGAAAATGTTTCTTAATTATTTTTGATTCAATGTAAATTTTATATTTATCATTACAATCATCACTACAAGAAATAAAACCATACTTTGACATATATTTTAAAGATTTAAAATTTAAATGTGCTAAACGTGCATGCCAGATAGAAGAAGAACAAACAATATAAGCAGAGTGACTTATTTTATTAATACTTAGTTTAAACATTCCATTACAAGTATAACCCTTCCCAACAAAATTTCGTTCTTAGACAGAATTAACTTATCAGCCTCTAACACAGCTTTAATGCCACTCTTACACAATAAATTTGCAGATAAAAGATTCTTTCTAATTTCTGGAACATGAAGAACATTTGTAATGTCAACTTCTTTCCTGAAGTAAATTGAATTTCAACATTCATTTTTCCCAAAACTTTGGCAGAGTTATGATTTGTCATCATAACTTCTTGATTATCCACAGATTCATAAGTTTTGTAATGTGATTTATCATTACAAACATGGATAGTAGCCTCAGAATCAAACCACCAATCTAAAGGCTTAGTTGTTGTTGCCAAGTTCAATTAAGTTATCATGCTAATTTGCATTGTAGACACCATAGCAACAAGATCGCAAATCTTCTCTTCCATTACATTAGCACTATTTGAATTGTTGACTTCCTCTTTCTTTTCATACTTTTTGTACCTACAATCACGAATAAAATGTCCTTTCTTTCCACAATAGAAACATGGTCCATTAGGATTTTTATTCTTATAAGGATGACTCATTTTGAAAGTCCCTTTATTTTGCAACTTGAGACTTTTCTGATATTTATTTGATTTGTCTCCATCTACATAATTCGCTTTGGAAGAATCTTCAACATAATATTTCTTATCACGAATTCGAGTTTCTTCTTCAATTCGCAAATGCTTCT